TAGCGGACATCGTTGTTTAAGCCGTTCCACCGAATTCAAGTTTACCGCATGATACACTTCAGGTTGACGCAAAGCCCCATTGATTACGTGATAAAAAGAATACCATGGGAGCCTCGTTTCAAACAACTACCCGCATGCCCACATTCTTGCAACATTTGCTAACAATCCATTGTATGATTTCCACTGTAGCACAAAGATATTGCTGGAATTTTTTGCTTTATGCCTGATTGCATATTTCATCTAGTTTTGTCCACTGCTGAGCAGCAGTCTAATCTTGACAAAAACACATCTGCGGGACCTGTTAAAAAAATATTGTCAACGCGGAAAGTAGGCATCGCTGGTCACCTGAACTGCGATTAAATATTTTCCGTTCACTGTCAGTGGCAACGATGAAGGCTTTTCGTAAGTCGGTTAATGGGACTGTCGCAATCCACAAACCACCGGTTAATTTCTTCAAGAAAATCTAGCGTTAAAAATGTCATACAATGAATGTGCATGGGAGAAGTTAAAACGAGTGGCAACGCCTGAATTCCCCATTAATATTCCACAAGATATTAACCGTCATCCACAGAACAGAAAATTACGTTTCTCCGATCAGTTCTATCCAAAGGGGGGAAGACATAACTCAAAGGGACATTACATAAGATGATAAATAATGTAACAAGAAATGCTAAAAATTCTTAAAACATTTGTGTATCAGGTACGTAAAATATGTTTGCCTCGGAGAACAGTTAATCAAATGTGTAAGACCAGATGTTGCGTACCATCAAAGCCAGCTACAGCCGCACAAGCGAAGTTAGCCATTTAGCAATTGGTCTCAATCGGGACGCTCTCACTTTCATGATACACACAGAAAATATTGGAACAGCTGTTTTTCTTATCGATCATAAAAGAATTCACAGAGTTGAAGACAAATAAAAAACATGAAAAATTTTAAAAGAATTGAAGAGTAAACAATCTCTCTCATAAAGAAACATTGTTTAAAGTCAAATCAATCTTCACCGAATGATAGATGAGATAAGATGCAAAGGAGCATATAACAGAAAAAGGTTTGATGACATTTCCAGTAAACGATAAACGGCGGGAACCCAGGAGTGTGAAAACGATGTGGCCAACTGATAGTACAAATACGCTGATCTGATAACGAACGCTGCAGTTGTTAGATTTCTTTATGCTCGAGGCTAATAAGTTACGAGAGTGCAATCGCCTGAAATGTCCTGAAAGAACCAAGAAAAACGGATAACGGATTGACATCAGGCAAAATTGAGAGCCATAGCTGAAGGGCGAAATAAGAACTGCACAAACACAAACAGTTGCTGCAGTAAAAAATACGTCCGAAAAAGAACAAAAACAAAACCATGCGTATTTGATTAACTCAGGCGGGCAAATGACTGCATTTATTGCTCAACGGGTAGCGTTGTAATTACTGCCTAAATGCAAGAAAAAATCTGGTATCAAGTCATGTGAACGAATTTCACTTGTCCGCTTTCTTCATTACTGCATAGAAAACGGAAAAAATTGATCTACATGCAAATAATGCAGAAAATGACATTAGAATCAAAGTAATATTACTCACCCAGACGTTTTCGGAAATCTGCTTCAGCTGGACGCGCTCGACCATTTCGGAAAGATGCCGACGGCCCTGTTCTATCTTCGCGGTCCCACAAACTCTGAATCCACAAATCTGGACTCCATAATTTTACAACAGTACCTCTGAAAAGGTACATTAATAAGAAAGAAAACTAGATAGAATGAAGTCCACTGACTCAGCTCCTTGAAAGACAACGTCAAAATCTTCGGGCAAACATTCCGGGCGAACCTTAGACGCAGGCAACATGGAAACCTTCAGCATCGTTTCCTATAAATCAATGCATACTTAACACAAAGAATAGACGACTGACAAGTAGTTTCCGATCGGACAGTTCATTGAATGCGATATTCAAACGTCCTTCGAAAACAAACCAAAATTAAGATCTCACCTGATCATATTTGTATATTTCTTTCTTTTTACTGCTTTCAGCAATTTCAGGTTCTTTCTGCTCATTTCCGCGAACCGTCTCCGTCATTTGCCTAAATGGCTTCTGGCCCTTACGTTCGTGAACACCAATGAATTCTAACGATTTTTCAGTCACGATAAGGTTTTACATAAGTAACCCGCAGAGCGCATTACCTTCTAGCTCTATATCAAACAATAGGCTTCACAATAGCAACATAAAAGAGGAGATTCATCGTAATTACCTGAATAAGCCTATATACACACCAACATACAAAACAATTATGATTTACTTTCGTAACGATTCGCAGGTATAATGATACAGTGTGCCTCACTGTATGGCAAACGTCAGTCTACTCAATTTTAGAAATCTTAATGATACCACAGCTTAAATAATGATCTCATAACTGATCAGCTTTAACATTGTCTGTTGAAAAAAATCACAAGACAAATTACTAAAGTAAAAACATTTATTGAAATTTTGTTATTTTAGACCAAACTCATACTCACCCGGCTCTATATACGGGAGAAAGTGCGGTCAGCGGGTTGTTTTGCAATGTAGTGTACTGGTTCAAACGCAAGGCTCGAAGTGACTTCTGTGTTATTCACTGCTAGTTTCTAGAGCAAGGAATTCGCTGCGCTGTGCTTTTATGCAACCAGCCAAAAGCGAGTTGGCCCGCAAGTAATAGGGAAAGCATTGTTGTCTTGTCGGTTCATCTCAAAACGTGTGAGACATGCGAAAATGATGTTCTGATACGTTCCATTTGCGTTTGCAATTCATCTTAACCCATCATTGGGTTGAACATTTTAACAAACAATGTGCAAATACAATCTGAAATACGTTTAAAAATCCTGAATGTTGCAGAGTGATTCGAGGATAGATGAGAAGAAAAACTGCTTAGATCCATTGAACAATAATATGAAAAACACTGCTCTGTATGAGCAAAACTGTCATGACGAAGAATTACGAATCGACTACAATTCACAGAATATGCTTCATCGAGAGTTTGTTTTCTATAAATACGACTGTACTTTAGTAATGAAATATGCAGATTCTAAAGTTTTTCAAGTAATGAAAACTAATTTAGTAAAATTTTTAATTCAATGGAAATGCTATTCCGCATTGAATAGTCCAATATCTCATTAATAAGCGACCGAAAATGAACCTGGAGCAGAAAATTTCGAACGAATTTTATGTCTAGACAGTGAATTAGTTTTTGGAATGCTGACAATCCTGATATAGAAACAGAAATTTTTGCATTCGAAGATCATCAGAATCCGGCAAATGTGCTGTCAAGAGCAGCGCTTAAAACTGAACAGTCGTCCATACTGACCGGAAATGACGACAAATTTTTTGATAATTCACGTTAATAAAATGAAATAGATAAACCTGGGATGAATATGAATATTTTTTTATTTCAAGGCATTATATTTAAGGGCAAGATTGTTCCTCCAGTGTTCGTTGCTGCCCTCCTGCATTGTACTATTTCTCGATCATCCTCGATAATTATTGAATCGTTCAACCCAAAAACACAAGTAGAGGAACACTTTTCGCTCAATTTCTGCATTTCTCGTCGTCAATGTTCATATTAAAACGATTTGTAAATAATTCCAATTCAGGAATATACTCGAATTTTCACACGAATTTTGATATTGAAAAAGATCGATTATTTCTTGAAATTGGAGTAACCGATGTATCTTACTGAGAAAGTGTTGAATAAAAGAGGCATTGGTTTGGAGGTTTATTTCACAAATAACTCGCTGTATAAATGCAAA